ACAGTGGTCAATTTTTAACAGCTGTTCCTGGAATTTCTGGGATGTTGCATCCGGAGGCTTGTAGACTACCACAATGACTAGGTTTTGGTTCTCGACCTTTACTGCTAAAACTTCCACTACATCATTTGAGGCATTAAGCAGTTCTGTGCAAACAAGTGACTCTGCAATGTACAGGCCAACCCCCCCACCTTTTGCCTGTTCAGTCACATCTGTATAGGTTGTAACCTGGGATCCATATTTCGTTGTCCAAGTGATCCTTCATGTGGGTCTCAGTGAAAGCCGCGAACATTGCCTTTGCCTCTGCAAGCAGTCCACGGATGAAAGGTATTTTGTTGTTTGTAGCTGGCTTTAGACCCTGTATATTTGCAAAGAAGAATGTCATCGGACTGGTGGTATTGTTGGTACTGGGGGGGGATTTTTTTTCCGGCATTAGTATCTGTATCTGTTGGCTTGGAGTGGAGGCCATCGACTGTGGTTCCACTCCAGGAATGACTGGATTTGGTGTACGATTTCTGCCATTTCCTGCTAGTTTTTTTTCCTTCCTGGCACTAAAAAACCTCTCCGGCTTGAGTGGCTGTGGCTACCTAGGTTTTCCCATGGCCTGGATGTTTTGTATCTTTTTGTCCCCTTTAGATGGTGTGCCTGGCAATTTAAGTTATAGCACAGTATTTCCTGTACTGAAGAGGTACACATTTCAGGGTGAAAAAGCTTATAGGAAGGGAGTTTGCATTTTCCTGTTGTCATATGGGCACGGCATTTTCTAGGGTGGTCATAGTTGCACGTCCCGTCTGTTTTTCCAGATTTCCCATGTCTGCAGATACCAAGTGCATAGTATGTGCACAGACTTGGTTTCCATTTGCCTTGGGTTTCTGTGACTGTATTCCTGTTGGTGCATGTTTCCCTGTCTTATTCCTATCCTCCCTAGCACCAACAATGGAGCTCCCACCAGTTGTTTTTGGTAATATATTCTCACTATTGCTAGTGGAGTCCTCTTGTTTGCTATTTCCTGTGGTATTTCTAGTTTGCAATATTGGTTTTATCTTATCTTTGACTACACTTGTTTCCCACTACGGCTCCTGTCCCCTATGAGGTCATTTATATGTATTCCTTCCTGGTATAATTCCGACTACCTGGACAAAATCTCCAGCTTCACCATTACTGTCTCCCAGGACAGCACCTCCAGCTTCACCATTACTGTCTCCCAGGACAGCACCTCCAGCTTCACCATTACTGTCTCCCAGGACAGCACCTCCAGCTTCACCATTACTGTCTCCCAGGACAGCACCTCCAGCTTCACCATTACTGTCTCCCAGGACAGCACCTCCAGCTTCACCATTACTGTCTCCCAGGACCACTATCAGCCCCACATTTACTGACTACCAGGACATCACCTCCAGCCTTACAGTTTCTGACTACATGGCCAGTATCAAGGGCAGTACCATTCACCCCAGACTTTTTATGTTCCCATCTGTTGTAGAAAGCTTCCAGGTTTTCTATGAAAGCAGCTTTGATGTTATCCTCTTTTAATACCCTTGTGATTTTAGTCCACAGATTTATCTCATTTGGGCATACCCAAAAACACTTCCCTGTTTTAATACTGCTTGTAGCTAGTTCTTGGATATCTGCACAAGGGGCGTGACACCAATTTCCACAAAAATGACAATTTATCCATGTGGAAGCCCGTTTGTTTGATTGACTGCAGACTACACAGAGCTTCATAATGATTTGAATGGTTGATTTACTGTAATTCTACTAGCAACCTCTTGAATACTCTATTAATAACCTCCTTAAATGAAGCTCTAGCTATTTGTATTTCTATTTCTAACTGTACTTGTATATTGGACAGCTTACCGTGTACGTTCCTGATTTATATTTATTGTTTGTGTTTGATAAGGGCGCCTACAACCCCATCCGTTTACAGTCTGCTTTATTGTCCAACGAATCCGTTTGTAACCAGTCAAGGGTTCGGACCATCAAGGGTTCGGACCAGTCGAGGGTTCGGACCAGTCTGATCTGATCAGTGGGTCACTTTTTTAAAACATACTGGTCGGTGATTTGGGCTAACACATGAAGGATCTACTTGAAATTATCTACCCGAGTAATATGTGATTTGATCGATACAAAAGTATAACTTGCGTGTTGAAGAACCGGTGATTTCTGGCAGCTCCTACAATGACGAACGGTCGAGCCTCAACCCTTGTTTATCAATCGCCTCCTCTGTTTTTACTCTGTTTACTATTACTTTTTAAGTTGTTTTTGTTAGGTTGTTATAGATCCATCTACTTACTTTTCCTGTTATTCCCTTATCACGCATTTTGCGTGCTACTGCACCATGATCGCACTCGTCGAAGGCTTTCATTCTGTGTATACTACATCTGCATTATGTTTGTCCTTCAGAATATCCAAGACCATGCCATAGTGGTCCAGTAATTGTGAGAGGCAGCAGCGACCATCCAAGACCATGTCATAGTGGTCCAGTAGTTATGAGAGGCAGCAGAGACCATCCAAGTCCATGCCATAGTGGTCCAGTAGTTGCGAGAGGCAGGAGCGACCATCCAAGACCATGTCATAGTGGTCCAGTAGTTGTGAGAGGCAGGAGCGACCATCCAAGACCATGTCATAGTGGTCCAGTAGTTGTGAGAGGCAGGAGCGACCATCCAAGACCATGTCATAGTGGTCCAGTGGTTGTGAGAGGCAGGAGCGACCATCCAAGACCATGCCATAGTGGTCCAGTAGTTGTGAGAGGCAGGAGCGACCATCCAAGACTATGTCATAGTAGTCCAGTAGTTGTGAGAGGCAGGAGTGACCAAAACCATGTCATAGTGATCCAGTAGTTGTGAGAGGCAGGAGCGACCATTCAAGACCATGTCATAGTGGTCCAGTAGTTGTGAGAGGCAGGAGCGACCATCCAAGACCATGTCATAGTGGTTCAGTAGTTGTGAGAAGCAGGAGCGACCATCCAAGACCATGTCATAGTGGTCCAGTAGTTGTGAGAGGCAGGAGCGACCATCCAAGACTATGTCATAGTGGTCCAGTAGTTGTGAGAGGCAGGAGTGACCATCCAAGACCATGTCATAATGGTCCAGTAGTTGTGAGAGGCAGGAGCAACCATCCAAGATCATGTCATAGTGGCCCAGTAGTTGTGATAGGCAGGAGCAACCATCCAAGACCATGTCATAGTGGTCCAGTAGTTGTGAGAGGCAGGAGCGACCATCCAAGACTATGTCATAGTGGTCCAGTAGTTGTGAGAGGCAGGAGTGACCATCCAAGACCATGTCATAATGGTCCAGTAGTTGTGAGAGGCAGGAGCAACCATCCAAGATCATGTCATAGTGGCCCAGTAGTTGTGATAGGCAGGAGCAACCATCCAAGACCATGTCATAGTGGTCCAGTAGTTGTGAGAGGCAGGAGCGACCATCCAAGACTATGTCATAGTGGTCCAGTAGTTGTGAGAGGCAGGAGTGACCATCCAAGACCATGTCATAATGGTCCAGTAGTTGTGATAGGCAGGAGCAACCATCCAAGATCATGTCATAGTGGTCCAGTAGTTGTGAGAGGCAGGAGTGACCTGCTTTAAACCCACGTTGCCCTGGGTTGTGTAATTGTTAGAAGTGTCCAGGTGGTTGGTGATCTTGCTTCTTAGAACCCTTTTAAAGATTTTTATGATGTGGGAAGGTAATGCCATTTTTGTGGAGTGGGACTATATCCGTTGTTTTTAGCAACGTAACCTTGCTAAAACTATCATAATATAAAATAGAAATCGCTTAACTTCAGTCAACTGTCTTCCTTGGCAAGGGTTGAGACGTCAAATCTTCAAAATAACCTCCAAAATTATCGGTGTTCATGTGTTATGCAGAAGCAATTAATATGCTATTTTAGAAATAATATTGAGTGTAAAATACTGAAACAACTAACGCCATTGTGGACTACCTTATAATAATTACTAGATGAAAATGCAAAGTAAACAAATTTACCACAGAATAAATGTTTTTTTTTTTTATCACACTGGCCGATTCCCACCAAGGCAGGGTGGCCACCAAGGCAGGGTGGCCACCAAGGCAGGGTGGCCCGAAAAAGAAAAACTTTCACCATCATTCACTCCATCACTGTCTTGCCAGAAGGGTGCTTTACACTACAGTTTTTAAACTGCAACATTAACACCCCTCCTTCAGGACTTGAGTCCTGGAGAATAAATGTATGTAGAGATAAAATAACTGGGAAGAAATCACTTTAAAACACACGACTATAAATTTGAACAAAATGCCATAGTGAAAAAAAATAACAGAAACACCTGAATAACTTTTAGAACGTTTCCGCATAACACAGTGGTGGAAGAATGAAATATATTCAACGAGGAGTTAATAAGTGCTACAGCAACCATTGAAAACTGATACATACAAAGTGCCTGGACTCTGAAGGAGAGGCAGGGATGTTGCAGTTTGGAGGAGCATCTGTGCTGTAGTATCAGGGAGCATCTGGTGAGACAGTGATGGAGTGAACGATGGTGGAAGTGTTTCTTCTTTTTTGGGTCACCCTCACATGTGAACTTTTATTAGACTGGGTCTCGTTCAGACACTGAGTTTCATCGAGTCACCCACATGTTTCATATAACTCCATGTATCTTTATCCGAAATGGTCAGGCATGATTGTGACTTTCTTTGTATTTAACAATATTTTATATCAAGTAAATCACACATTGTATATGCAAAGAAATACCAAAAATAAATTAATTTAATGGTGTGGATACTTGATACCATCGTGTGGGTACTTCATACCATAGTGTGGGTACCTTATACTATCATGTGGGTAGTTCATACCATCGTGTGGATATCTTATACCATCATATGGGTATTTCATACCATGGTTGGGTATCATATCATTACCAACTCATCTTCAAGGTGTGTGACCACAGGAATGATCAAAGGTGTTTATGTCAATTTTTTTTCATTCTGATGTTTTTTGATAATACAGTTATGTGTAATTATAGTGAATGGACTCACGAGATTTGATATGTTATAGTTAAGTGCATCGTTGAGTTGATTATCACCGAGGTAAAGATGGGTGAGAGTGGTCAGGGTCCACAGGTCAGTAGGCAGCTCACTAAGATAGTTGCTAGATAAGTCCAAAAACTCCAGTGAGCTCAAACCTGAAGGAAATAATGATTCTGAATGTTATGGGAATATAGTTACAATAAGCATCTTTAGGGAACAACTTGCACTGTAAACAGATTTACTGAAGTTGGAAAAAGACAAAATGCAAACACTAATATATTTTATTGGAAACATATCTGTCCTGAGACCGTGATCACTCCTGAGACCTTGGTCATACCTGAGACCTTGGTCACTCATGAGACCTTGGTCACACATTTGGAGTGACCCAGGTACCAGGACAAACGTATCCAATAAAATGTCCTAATGTTTGCATGTTGTGTCTTTTCCACTACCAGTCAAACTCCTTCAGTGTGACTATATTATAAGTGTATAGTCTAAGGTGAAGTACCTCAGAGACTTAATATAACAGTAATAAATATCTTCTGCTCTTCGAGGGGAAGGAACACTGAAGGAATGAACTCCTTCAGTGTGACTATATTATAAGTGTATAGTCTAAGGTGAAGTATCTCAGAGACTTACTATAACAGTACTAAATATCTTCTGCTCTTCGAGGGTAAGAAACCATCCTCCAAAGATATAATCTTTAATTGAAGACAAAGTGGAAGTCCAGAAGAACATCTTGAAACACAAGAGTCGCCAGCTGGAAGACCTCAATATGAAGAAATACGAGGAGAACATGCTGGTGGTCCTCGGATGTGAAAGAAATTACGTAGGCAGAGAAACCTTTGAAAGCTTCTTGAAGGAAAATATTCTTATTTCCAAAGATCCTGAAGATTTTGTTTTCCAGATGGAATTAATTCAGCTATATGCAAAATACGCAGCCGAGGCAGGACTACGACTTGCTAATTCTATGGACTATGGAAAACACTTAAGCACTTCTGGCATAGGCATCAAGAGAATGAGTGCCAGGTTTAACTTTGAGTATACCTATCAAGGAATGAGATGGATTGATACTTCTGGTAAAACTATTTATGAACGTAGTGTTAAGAGGAAAAAAGCCTCTATTGGATGAAATTTGCCGAAAAAAACAAAAACTAGTAGACAGCAAAAAGAAGAAGGAACAGGAAAAAACTAAAAGAGAAGAAAAAAGAATGGAGAAGGAAGGTGAGGAAGATTCAAGCAGTGACAAGGAACTGCCACCTTCCACAACTGAACCAGAAGTACAGACTGATGAAGAATCTAACAAGGTCACAAGTCAGGAAACTACTACTGACAATGAGTCTCTTATAAGTAATTACATAAACAACTTTATAGTTTCTACTGGAGCAGCAGCTGAGTCAGAAGAACAGCGAGAACAGGAGACCTTCATTCAGGGGCTTCTCTTCCCTGACAAACCACCAAAAGAACAGCAAGAATTGGAGACCTTCATTGAGGAGCTTCTCTTCCCTGACAAACCACCAAATCCTGTAGAAGAAACCACTCCACCTGTGAACTTTGATACAAAGCCAGAGTCTGTACAGGAAACCCAAGATTATGATTTCGACCTGGATGCTCTCTTTCATTGAATCAATCCTTCTGGACCGCTATCACTCGTAGTAACCAAGCAAGAACTACATCCACTGAAGAAGACCACAAAAAATATATAAGGATATTTTCACAATTGAAAATTTTATTTTTAAAAATTTTTAAGAAGGTATTATTATTTTTTAAATGAAAGGATTGATTTTAGTTGAGGTGATAGTATAATAATTATATAATGGAGTCTGTCTGTGTGAAGAGTCCAGGTTAAGTACTTTAAAAATAATAATGACAGTATTGGTATGGTGAGGCATAGTAGTGATGAGGATAATGATAGGAGGGTAGTGATGAGGATAGTGATGAAGATAGTGATGAGGGTGATGACCAGGATAGTGATGAAGGTAGTGATAAGTGTAATGATGAATATAGTGATGAGGGTAGTGATGAGGATAGTGGTAAGGGTAGTGATGAGGATAGTGATGAAGGTAGTGATAAGGGTAGTGATGAGGATAGTGATGAATATAGTGATGAGGGTAATGAGGATAGTGATGTATGGTGACATGTATGGTAGCGAATGTATGGAGCGAAACACCAACGTCAAAGACCTGGGAGTGATCATGTCGGAGGATCTCACCTTCAAGGACCATAACATTGTATCAATCGCAGCTGCTGGAAAAATGACAGGATGGATAATGAGAACCTTCAAAACTAGGGATGCCAAGCCCATGATGACACTCTTCAGGTCACTTGTTCTATCTAGGCTGGAATATTGCTGCACACTAACACCACCTTTCAAGGCAGGTGAAATTGCTGACCTAGAAAATGTGCAGAGAACCTTCACGGCGCGCATAACGGAGATAAAACACCTCAATTACTGGGAGCGCTTGAAGTTCCTGAACCTGTACTCCCTGGAATACAGGCAGGAGAGATACATGATTATATACACCTGGAAAATCCTAGAGGGACTAGTACCGAACTTGCACACGAAAATCACTCACAACTAAAGCAAAAGACTTGGCAGACGATGCAACATCCCCCCAATGAAAAGCAGGGGTGTCACTAGCACGTTAAGAGACCATACAATAAGTGTCAGGGGCCCGAGACTGTTCAACTGCCTCCCAGCATACATAAGGGGGATTACCAATAGACCCCTGGCAGTCTTCAAGCTGGCACTGGACAAGCACCTAAAGTCGGTACCTGACCAGCCGGGCTGTGGCTCGTACGTTGGTTTGCGTGCAGCCAGCAGTAACAGCCTGGTTGATCAGGCTCTGATCCACCAGGAGGCCTGGTCACAGACTGGGCCGCGGGGGTGTTGACCCCCGGAAATCTCTCCAGGTAAACTCCAGGTCGGTATCACATGCAATTTTTATTAGACCGACAGATGTTGTAATCGCCTAGCTTAGGCCTGGTTACAAGTGCTGCTGGCAATTTGGTATATACTGTACAGACACGATGAATTGAATGTAAATTTTATGACCAGTCTTGTGATCACTTTTTTCTAACACTATGTGCTTGATTGTCCACTTACTGACAAATATAGATAGTACAGTATAATAACCTCTGTGTGTGTGAGAGAGGAGAGAGAGAGTGGTGAGTTATGATGTTAATTCTTCTATCTGTTATGTATATACGTATCTGTCAATGGTTCCAGGAGTCATCACTCCAGCGCCCCGGTAACAGATTAGGCTTCCTAAACTGTAAAGGAAATTTTACATTAAAAAGAACTATCAAGAAACACAGGAAATTAATGTATATACAGAATACAAATAAAAAATTGAAAAATTGCTGTCATCTAAATTGTTTATCAGGCAGAAAGAATTATTATTATTATTATAATCAAAAAAGAAAGGCAGAAAGAAAAGACCATATATATCCAGCCAAAGTGCAAATCATTTAACAGGCTTCTGTTTCATAGTCCTAAATCACTGTTTAAATAAACATTCATGTATTATTTCTTCATTGGGATATGACTCACTGTTAAGAGTAGCCGGAGGTATGACGGTAATCTTGTTCTTCTTGAAGGAGAGAGTCTGTAGGTTGGTCACTCCAGCCAGGCTCTGTGATGTCACCTCAGAGATCTCGTTGTAGCCAAGGAAGATCTGTATACACAAACACTCATTCAGGAAAGATCAGTACATACACACACATGCACTCACACAAATAAAATAAAGGGCCGTGTCTATCGACAAGTACCTTTAACTTTACTCAGTTTACTATTACTCTGTATTCTATTTGTTAGGAAGTTATAGACCCTGTAAAGTTTATGACCAGTCTTGTGGTCACCTTTTCCTAATGCTATTGCACCATGATTGCACTTGTCGAAGGCTTTCGCAAAGTCTGTGTATACTACATCTTGTGTTTGTCCTCCAGTGCATCCAAGACCATGTCATAGTGGTTAAGTAGTTATGAGAGGCAGGAGTGACCTGCTCTTAACCCATGTTGCCCTGGGTTGTGCAGTTGATGGTATCTAAGTGGTTGGTGATCTTGCTTCTTAGAATCCTTTCAAGTATATTTTTCAGTCTTGTTGTCTCCTCTATTTGCTGGCTTAAGGTGAATTTGTTGCAGATTTTTAATAGCTCATGTGTGTGTGAATATGCATCTAATTATATAAATTAATTTTAAGTACATAACTCATATACTGTATTACTGGTGAATTATAAAATAACCTTCATACACAAATGCAAAAAAATACTCACCTGAGTAACATCCGGGTGTAGGAGCCAGCAGGCGGTGGGTATGGAAGTGAGGCCATGAGCAACATATTCACAGTCCCAGCGGAACCCATCAGAGCCAGGAAAGAGTGGGTCAGCCTCCAGGTACTGACATGGACACTCCTCCCCCCACACACGCTAACGAATTAAACTTTAATACTACTTTCTTTTTCAGTTTAAACTTCAACAAGACTAAAGATTATTATAGTTCCTACCAGTCTCTACAATTTACTATTATTAAATTTATGGGAAGTACTAAACCCATAGGGGTCATATGCCTGAGGAATGGGAGATAATCAGGTTTGATCCAAGGAAGGGGAGTGTAACCTCAGTTCCTTGGAATAAGAGCCCTTCACCAGCATGAAGGCACCTCCAATAAAAAGAGAGATGGTAAAGGCAGAGGTTTGGAGGAATGACATCAGCAGAGAGGGAAAGACATTAGCAGAGAGGGAAGGACATCAGCAAAGGGGGAAGGACATATACACTCCTGAAGAAGCTTACTTCGTGTGTGAGAGCAGTGATAACAGCCAGAAGCACAAGCCACAACATCTGCACTTCTCACCAACACTGATGTAAGTCAAGACTTACATTCAAACTTCACAAATTTAGACTAACATTCTAGGAAACCTTGAACAAGTGTTGACCTGTCAGCTGCAGTAAATAATTTGTTATCAGTGAGAGAATATAACATATGGTAAGAAATGTACAAGGCTAATTATTTTATCTCTTATCATGTAGCAGTGTGTGGTTCCCAGGTTGAACAGTATTTGGTTCTCACGTGGTAATATGTCGTCCTGGTGTGTTCGTGTGTGGTTCTGTTTTCCATGATACAATGGGGTTCTCATGTGGTGTATTATTATTATAATCATATTATTATTATTATTATAATCAAGGGGAAGCGCTAAACCCATAGGATTATACAGCGCCCGGGGGGGAGGATGTGGAAGGCATTCGGGCTTAATTCGGGGAACTGGAGCACAGATCCAATTCCCTAAATCAAGAGCCCCTCACCAACATCAAGGAACCTTCCATGAGGGGATTATAATTATAACTAAGCATTAAACCCACAAGCATCATACAGCAAGTGCATTATTATACTCTGGGGCAAATAGGTCACTTTGGCTTTATTAGGTTACCCTAGTTAATTTACATCATGTATGATAATTGTACCGATGCGTACCCATGCCTAAATAAACTTACATACTTATTTAGTAACCTGTGGGATCATATAATAATCACATAATCAAGTGCAGCACTAAACCCAAAGAGACACACGAGTGCTGTAGGGGTCATACAGCTCCTGGGGAATGAGGGGCAACCAATTTTAATCAAAGAAACGGGAGGACACCTAATTCCTTGGATCAAGAGCCATTCAGTGGCATCAGGGCACCTTCCCTTGAAGGGAACTGTACTCATGGCTGTTACCCCAGGAGCAAGTTCTCTGGAGCAATAAGACATAAGAGATAAAAACAGGTAATTAAAAAAGCAATTTAGTTTTATAACTTTAATATATATCTGATGTGCAGTTCATTAATAACAATATATTGGATTTAAACCATGTAACACAATAAATATTTTATTTTACACTTAGTTGAAGAGGATCATTGCACAAAGCTACTTTCAGCAACTGAACGTTTTATCACAGAAATCTTATTCTTTGACAAGTTTCACCCAGTACTCTGTATTTCATCACAGAGAACTATCTCTGTGATAAGTTACACCCAGTACTATGTATATCATCACAGAGAACTATCTCTGTGATAAGTGACACCCAGTACTATGTATACCATCACAGAGAACTATCTCTGTGATAAGTTACACCCAGTACTATGTATATCATCACAGAGAACTATCTCTGTGATAAGTGACACCCAGTACTGGCTCTGGTGGCCTGGTGGTTAACGCTCTCGCTTCACACGGCGAGGGCCTGGGTTCGATTCCCAGCCAGAGTAGAAACATTGGGCGTGTTTCTTTCCACCTGTTGTCTATGTTCACCCATCAGTAAAATGGGTACCTGGGTGTTAGTCGACTGGTGTGGGTCGCATCCTGGGACACTGACCTAATTTGCCCGAGATGCTCAGCATAACAAGTGGCTTTCTATGTAGTAGTATGTCATTGTTGTCAGCTAGGACTGTATACCATGTACATGTACTTGTAGTAAATAAAGATTATTATTATTATTATCATCACAGAGAACTATCTCTGTGATAAGTGACACCCAGTACTATGTATATCATCACAGAGAACTATCTCTGTGATAAGTGACACCCAGTACTATGTATATCATCACAGAGAACTATCTCTGTGATAAGTGACACCCAGTACTATGTATATCATCACAGAGAACTATCTCTGTGATAAGTTACACCCAGTACTATGTATATCATCACAGAGAACTATCTCTGTGATAAGTGACACCCAGTACTATGTATATCATCACAGAGAACTATCTCTGTGATAAGTGACACCCAGTACTATGTATATCATCACAGAGAACTATCTCTGTGATAAGTTACACCCACTATGTATACTAAGAGACTATCTCGTGATATCACCAGTCTATTTATCACAGAGAACTATCTCTGTGATAAGTTACACCCAGTACTATGTATATCATCACAGAGAACTATCTCTGTGATAAGTTACACCCAGTACTATGTATATCATCACAGAGAACTATTTCTTTGAGAAGTTTCATTCAAAATAGACTTTGTAACTTACACTTCATCACAGTGGTGCTCTGTTCTTCTAATAATGATTTGCATTTTCACAAAAGGGTGAAATTCCATTTATTTATATTATAGCATCTCTTAGTAAGAATAGTGTAATTCAAAATATTTACTCTTACAGTACAGTAACCTTAACATTTTAGAAAAGAGAAATTGTATATGTATATCCAGATGTATGGCCTTTAAATTTTATATTTTAATTCAGGGAAAGTGCAAAACCCATAGGGGTTATATAATGCCTGGGAAATGGAAGGCATTCAGATTCAATCCAAGGAAGAGGAGTTTAAGTCCAGTTCCTCGGATCAAGAGCTCCTCACCAACATCATGGCACCTCCGTCCATTTAAAATATTTGCAGCTTATTTTATTGTCAAGAAAAGTTGTTGTCCATGTGCCTTTATAAAGCTTCAGTATAGCAATTCATAAGGTTTCTGATACAATATAGCAAGATAAAAAAAAAGAGATTAAAAGTGGTTAACCATGCAAAAATGTCAATATTACATAAATAAATTTCAAATAATGAAAAATGTCTCTTTGCCTGAATTATTTTAAAGTGCTCAAATGTACCATTCCCAATATTAAGACAGAAAGTGAAGGCTTGTAGAGCGTAAGATGAGTGGCAGGTGTTGCTGAGTGAAGGAAAGGATAATTATATCCAGATAACTTCTAAAAAAAATAATGACCATTGACTGTGCATACCAGGGAGACAAAGCAGCACATTCATGACTTCAAGACCATGATACCAGGGGCTCAGAAAAGCAAGAGGCTAATGTGCAGAGAACATGACAACAGTACACCTCCTTATGTCTCTGGTTGGTAAATGCTTCATATTACAAAATAATATATTGCACAGGAAATGAAATACACTTGTACAGTAGAGCAGTAATATTTGATATTTAATAAATTAAGTGTATTGAAATATTCTTCACATGTCTAACTACCCACTGAGACTAAAGCTCCCGCCTCACACACGGAGGGCCCGGGTTCGATTCCCGGCGGGTGGAAACATTTCGACACGTTTCCTTACACCTGTTGTCCTGTTCACCTAGCAGCAAATAGGTACCTGGGTGTTAGTCAACTGGTGTGGGTCGCATCCTGGGGGACAAGATTAAGGACCCCAATGGAAATAAGTTAGACAGTCCTCGATGACGCACTGACTTTCTTGGGTTATCCTGGGTGGCTAACCCTCCGGGGTTAAAAATCCGAACGAAATCTTATCTTATCTTCACATGTGGCTGTGTGGACAGAGCAACAGCAAAAATTCATGAGCTCTCAAGTAAATATGCAAATTAAGATTTACTGTTAATAGTGAAAGTAGTATTCAAATAAATATGTCAAATAACAAAGTATAACTAAATAATGAATAAATGTCTATTCAAACTTTAGTTTTCATTTAACCTAATTTTCAGTTAATAGAAATTATATTTTCGATATATCCTGCATATATGAGTCAAAAAAATTATTTTGAGTTGCTGTATTATTCTGTATTTGTATGTAGCATGACCAGCCAAGCTTACCAAAGCTTATGAAATGACACTCCAGCCAATATAATTAACCATAACAGTGAAATTTTCTGCTTGGTATTCATGCTCCATGCAAATGTTAACAAGCAAATAACCAAGTTTATTTAAAAGATCCACTCAGCCTCTTGCATAATTGAATACAGCAGCTCCTTGAATAACGTCGTTTCATTCAACATTATTGCATTATGACACTGATGAGAAAAGAAAATCGAATGGATATAGATTGTCAAATAAAAATGTGTAAAGTATACAATAATCATACAAATACACGACAATAAACAATGCAGTAGGAGAGCGTTCAGTGAGCTCGCCATATTTGTTACTATTTGTTTTTGAATTGCATGGTGGTAGAAGGTGCTCCTTAAAATTTTTGCTTTGCAAACATTTATTCTTTGATTTAACCCTGTTGCAATGAGTGCTAAAGATGCACTGTGCACCAGTGGTATCTGACCACAAAAAAAAAAAAGTGACATTAAAAACAAAACTAGAAGTTTTAAAGATATTGTGTTATACACCATTTCGCTTAAAGTTGCAGTTTCCAAGAACCTCTCGAAGACATTAAGTTGGGATTTATTATTAAAAGCTGATGCAGTGTGTACCAACAGTTCAAAATGAAATATATTACCATATGCTACTTGAATTTCTTTATAAATGTTGAAATATACTGCATGCTCCACTTAAAGTAAGGAGCACAATGGAGATGTTTACTATTTGTCACATGCAGCTAAAATGTAAGAGCGTATTGTTATTATGTCCATGAAAAAAGCTAAATCCATGTGGGTCATTCTGTGCTATACAGTGAGAAGAATGGCAGAGGGAAAGAGATAGCTTTGAGGGGACAATAATGGCAAAAAGGAGGGAATCACAATTGGTGTAGCAAATCATCGTCATTCAAGAAATCGGAATTTGCATTAAAGGAGAGACCGTCAGCGAGGAAGGCAGACACAGTAACCTTGACAGAACACTAAAGAAGACTTCTAAAAAAGGAAGGTGGTATGCTCTCTGACAAACAGAATATACAATGAAAAGAAGTTGGACTGTCAGGATAATTTGACAACTGTCAGTGGCACCAGACACCTTGAAGAATAATTCAACATGATATGAACATCTTGTCAATGTTAAAGACATTAAAGCTTGTGAGGCTAATTGAGATACAAATATATCGGCTAACGATAATGGTACTCTGCTGCTGAGATCGCCAAGATAATCACAAATAAGCCGCTACCTGACAAATGGGCTTATACCATACATGTATATCATTACTTAGAGGGAACAAAGAAGATCAAACATTACTGTACTGAGGATTTAACTGCACAATACACAGTCATATTTGTTTTTGTGACCCCTTAACTTTATTTTATTACTACTGTATCAATTTTCAACCTTACAGATTGAGTATATGCATCAT